AAATTACCTGAAAGTCCAAGATGTAATTATTAGGTATATTTATGTTGTTGCCCAAAAATGCAGGTTACTCCTGTTTCAAATGTTTCTAGTTTTTATTAGTTGCATAACATTCAGTGATCTAAACCAGAAAATTCACTTCACCGTAGGATGAGAATAAATCCGTCTGTGAATCATGTTTGTTCTGACACCGTCCACCAGGTGGCGCTGTTATCCCACCAATGAACTCACCGCCGCTGGTCTTCTGCCAACCTGCAGAACGGGTCCCACAGCAAAAAAACAAATGTTTACACCGAAAAAACGAAAACATCGAATTATGCTGAGTGTGTGTTTGGACACACTCGAGTTATTAGTGCACAAATGACGGCCAATGAAAGTAAGCACTGAGTCATTTCTCCTGGCGCCGCCGCCGCTGCACGCTTTGTTTAGTGTTACTCTGCAGAAAAATCCCTCGGTTCACTATCACGTTTAAAAATAGCCTCCAGCTGAAAAGAAACTTCATGAAATATTTAATTCACTTTGTCAGAGTAATTTAGCTTTGACAGTCTCTTTAATCTTCCGCTAAACTGCAGACGCGCACATACATCAGATTAATTGAGTTTATTATTATTACTGCTGTTTTTTTTTCTTCGAGAAGTGCGGCAAAGCATCGGAGCAAACATCTCAAACAAGCGAAGATCAACGCTCAGAAATTGATTAATAATGCATCAGTAAACTTTCACAACACGCTCCATTTAACACACAAAAAACAAAGCAAGGAAAGGAGCAGCGTCCGTCCCTGACAGCAGGATTTCATCAAACATATGAATCAGTAACTTAATAACACTTTGGCTCTCGTGGCTGTGAAGCTGGAGCCAGGACTTGGTTATTTTAGCTCTGCTGAAACCACTGAACCCCCCGAAAGCTGCCAGCAGGTTTAAAAGACGTGTTATCTTTTAAAAATTACCGTAATTACACCATTTATCAGAACCAGGAGGGAAAACAGTAAACAGAAAAAAACAGACGTAATCATGTGCGATGTACGGTTTCGTCAGTAAACTGAATCCAAGCTTCAAAGTTTAATATTTATCAAACTCGCTTTATTCTTGTTTTTCCCAAAAATAAACACCAGATTCTGTAAAAAACAAGAAATTCTGCAGTTCTTGCTTCAACTGTGAAGCCGTGAGCGACTGAGCTGCAGGAAACAGTCACATGACAAACATTCAGACACTTTTCAGCTGAACTGCAGGACGTGTTTACACCGAGTGTGGAAACAAATCAAAAATGTAAGTAGTAAAATATCTACAGTATGTGGACCTACGACTTCGCCCCAATATTGGTAACAGCCTAAAATTGTGATATTTTATTCTGTGTTTTATTTCAGATTTGCCAAAAAATTAACAGTTTGCACCAGATTCTGTGAAAAACAAAAAGTTCTGAGCTCCGTGGCACAACTCTGAAGGCAAAACTGACTCGATTGTGACCAACAGTCACGTGACAAAAATTCGAGAAACTTTCAGGCTGAACTGCAGGAAGTGTTTAAACAGAGCAAATAGGAGACGAGTCTTTAAACAAATTGAAAATGTAAATCGTAAAATATCTCAAGTATGTGCGGTCATGTTGGGTTTTTAGTATCAGTAACACTTGTGGGCATTTTAAAAAAAAAAAAGAGAGAGAGAGATTCCCGTTTTTGTCCATTTTTGTTAAATAAACAACCAAAGAAATTCAATTTTTCCTTTTTATATGATTTATGGCATTTATCTGTCATGCTGGGAAAAAGACGTTCCTGAGTTTTCTCTACTTCTAGTCATGGTTGTGCTGTTTCCTGTCACGTACAGGATTTTATATTGCAGTGAGTAAAAATAGGAGCAAAAAAATCTATATAATTATAATAACTTTATTTATGCAGCGTCTTTTAGAAATAGAGTTCGCAAAGATGCTTTACAGACCATTGACCGTTTCAAACAGAAGGCTGGTCCGACCAGACAGGAAGAAAAACACAGACCTTGAAACAAAAGTAAAGTTAAACAAGCTGAAAGATTTACAGAATAAATCAATATAGCAAACATCGATGGACACAAATACAACAAAAAATTGGCAGAAATGTCATGAATTTATGATAAACGAACAAGTAGAATAACAAAAAGCAGAGAATCAAATACCAGAAGTTTACATCCAGCGTATAAAAAGACATAAAACCTTTTTTTCTCACTATCTGACACTAAATCAGACAAAACTTTTCCTGTTTTAGGTCAGTTAGAATTACCAAAATGATTTCTATTTGCTACAAGCCAGAATATTGAGAGAGAGAATTCTTTATCACTTTCTTCAGAGTCAGAAGTTTACGCACATTTCCTTTGTGTTTGGTCGCCTTGCCTTTAAACTGTATGACTCAAACGTTTCAGATCAAATTGTTGCCCTGGAATCTGAATGATGAGATATAATATTTATTTTTTTAATTAAACGTGCTGCCACTGAGCCATTTGTATAATTTCTCTTTGTGGAGGTCATGTGTGGGGCTGCAAGGTGGCGCAGTTGGTAGCACTGTTGCCACGCAGCAAGAAGGTTGCCGGTTTGCGTCCTGGTGGGGGCACCGGAATCTTTCTGCGTGGAGTCTCCATGTTCTCCCCGTGCAGCGTGGGTTCTCTCCAGGTTCTCCAGCTTCCTCCCACACAGTCCAAAGACATGTTGAGGTTAATTGGTGATTCTAAATTGTCCGTAGGTGTGAATGTGAGTGTGCTTGGTTGTCTGTCTCTAAGTGTAGCCCTGTGATAGACTGGTGACCTGTCCAGGGTGTCCCCTACCTTCACCCTAAGCCGGCTGGGATAGACTCCAGCCCCCCATGACCCTAGTGAGGATTAAGCGGTGTATAGATAATGGATGGATGGAGGTCATGTGTTCACTTATTTCCTGTTTTAATGAACGTTACCCACAAACACAAACCTCAAAACAACCACTAAACTGTGATTCTGAGCAGGATCGGTTCACAGAATCCTCCTTGTTTGAGGCGGATTTCTGTACATTTAATTCTTACCGTCCCTCCTGTCGTCCTCTCAGCTCTCTGCTTCGCTACGGCGGCAGCATGTCCCTGCAGAGCGCCATGAGCGTTCGCTTCAACAGCACCGGCACGCAGCTGCTGGCTCTGCGGCGCCGCCTGCCGCCCGTCCTCTACGAGCTGCACTCACGCCTGCCCAGCTTCCAGTTCGACAACCAGGGATACTTCAACTCCTGCACCATGAAGAGCTGCTGCTTCGCCGGAGACAAGGATCAGGTCGGTCGAGAATCCTAAACTGTGACTGCTGCTGCTGCTGCTGAGCATCTTTAATTTGACTGATTTGTTTTTAAAGTGGTGAATATTGATTGTGTAAAATGTGGGCTCATAGCTTAACGATTTAGAGTTAAAAAGAGTAAATGAAGGGTCGATTTTTTTTGCATTGTTTTTTTGCTGCCAATCTGTGGATCAAGATTTGAAGTGTCATAACTTGAGAAATAATCTGAAATTTAGCAGGTTCATTGATATGTACATCAAAGGTACAACCCTGCTTTGATAGAATAACACAAACCAGTTGGTGATGGTGCAAATTTGGTCCTAAAAATTCTGTCTACTTAGATATTAAACCTTTATTTTTCACCATAAGAGGCTGATTTTTCCCCCTGTGATTGGCACCAATAGGAATTTTAGAAATGTAGAGTATGGTCCTACTCAGAGGTTTACTTTATGAGAAAACAGCTCTTAAAATGAGCATTTCTGGCTAATATTAGGACAATCATTAAGCAGGTATGATGGATGAAACCACTCCAATTGTGTCCCAACTGGAAGAGTTCAATAATATTGTTGCTGGACGAAAAGAAAAATTATGATTTCCAGCTAATAGTGCTTCAATAATATTATAAGAAGTGGTTCTTGATGACATAAAGAAAACAAATATGAGGCGATCAGGTGTGAACTCTTTCGAAAACTTGTTGCATTGAGACTGAATGACTCTAATGAAACAGAATAACTCGCCGTCTTCTGTACATGCAGGGAAAATATGCATGAAAACTTCCACAAGATGACTAAAGTTTTCCATTTAATGCAGAACAGTGAAAGCAACGTCTCGTACATGATGTATTACCCTCCGGAGTGCCATCAGCTCCGGATACAATGAGCAGATACAGAGCGCAGAACAGTGGAGGGATTGTTTTAGCCTGACTTTGCGGTCACTCAAAATGATATTTGAGGGACAATATTGGGAACGTGTGGGATAGAAGCAGGAGGATGTATGAGTTCCTTCTGCGGAGCGGGGACCTTTTTGTGTGCGCTGGAGGAACACCAGAAGCCCCTGAACTCGACCGCTGATCCTCCCGTTGGTCCTCCTCAGACATGACATCACCCTGCAGTCATGTTTATTATGCTAACATTATCCTCGGGTGTCAGCGGCGCTTATGAAGGCTTAAAAAGAAACGATCCGGCCCAGCGCGAGTGGAGGAGGCGGGTTAAAGGTTGAAGAATCAGGGTCGGTCGCTGGAGGTTGCTGGTTTGAATCTGCTCATCTTGGTTTTTTTGGATGTTAACAAGGATCGTTGGGGAGCCTTTGAGATCCAAATTGGTCAAAAATAATAAGCTGCAGATTGTGGGAGCATCATTTTAACTTATTTTACTACAAAAACTGATTCCTCTAACTCCTGCCTTTTGCTGCATTTAAAAGCAATAGGATGTACTTGGGCTTACCGCGGTTATTACACAAGCTGACCGTTATCATTTTGCATAAAGGTTAAAATCATTTCCATCCGGCTGCATGAAACACAAATGTCAGGTCACCTTTTCTACTATGCCGTCCTTTTGTTCTGCTGTCGTTTAAAGGCACTAACAGTTGATTTCTAGTCGCTTCTCACATTCAACCGACTGCATTTCAGCGAGAATCTCTTGGCATAGGGAGAGCCAAACCAACATACTTTGGTTTTAAGCCAAATAAAAAAAAAAAGAGAGAGATCCCAGTTCCTCAGAGGAGGCAGTTTGTCTGATTTGCTGTTAACTTCAAAGGCAAGAATAGCACTAATCTTAAACTAACAGAGGCATAAAATGAGCAGAAAAAAAGAGTTAAATCTTAAATTGCAATTATTTATAGGGGAACTAATTGTCAAGTGGAATTTCCTGACTGTGACCGCCCCAATTGTGCAGGAATATTTGTTAAAGTCATTCATCAAACCCATAAAAAATCATCTCATGTCATCAGAGTTACATGTTTAGAAGTAGAAAACCCATCTTTTTTGCTTTAAACTGTTTTTTTCTGCCTCCTTTAGTTCATGTAAATCTATAAATATGCACATAAATCAACTATTTGTGCCGTTTTAATGGTTTAATGGCACCAGCTGTTTATGTCTAGTTACTTGTAATATACAACCGACAGCGTTTCGGTGCACGCCTATCGACGTTAGCGTCATCGGTTGAGTTTCGAAGCCGAACACCGCGGCCCTGCTGTGGCCACATTTTGGTTTTAAGCCAAATTAAAAAGGAGAGCCCAAAGTGTTGGAGGAGACCATTTGTAAGATTTGCAGTAGAAAGGTGGCATCAAAGGCATAAATACCACTAATCTAAAACTAATAGAGGAGCAAAATGAACAGAAAAAGACAGCGGAATCGTAAATCGCGATTATTCATGTGGCAGCTAATCGTTAGCTTCAATTTCATTATTGCGAGAGCCTTTAAGAGTGTAGTGATAATATTTAGTAAAGTCCTTCTTCGGTCGTTGATCAAACCTCAAAAAACTTAAGAAGTTACATATTGGCCTGCTTTACTTCTATCTTCACCCACCCCTCTGCAGCTGGAGCACACCAGCTCACCTACGAATGTGATGGAACACTGTAAAAATACTCAATGTCAGTCACCTACAAGTCCATGTATCACAATGGTAGGATGCTTCATGTATTGCTCTCTAAAACTCAAACATAAGTGAAATCCACAAATTCAGGCTTGACTACATTTTTTAAAAAGCTGATCATGTGATACTAATGTTGGGGAAAGGGTTTAAATTTCTCTTTTTGCAACCTTAAACAGAGGTTGCATAAAAACAACAACATGCAAAGTTAAAGCAACACGGTTAAAAACGTAATTTTGTTCGAGTGAGTCTCTAAAAGACCTGTTTGTCCGTTTATAGCTGATAGCGGGATGCAAACTGTTTTTGGTTTTTAATTTGGTTAAATGTTAAATCAGAGCTTATCCTTTAAAAAAGTTCTCTGTTGTTGGCTTGTTGTTTCTGGAAGCTATCAGACTGAAAAGTTTGTATTTGTACACCGAGATAGAAAGTAAAACTGGCTATAAACCTGAAAAGCCAGCAAGTAAAAATCGGCTTTTCAAAGGGATCGTCTGTCGGGTTATTTTGTCTATGAGGTTATAATTAGATTATCCAGAAAAACACTGTTAGGATTATGCTGCCATCACAAAGTACAATCATGAAAGAGGGCTGCAACAAACAAGTATCTTCATTGTTGGTTGCTTTTTCAATCAATCTGAGTTGTTTGGTCGGTAGAATGTAAGAAAATGATGAAAATAGTTGATCAGTGTTTCCCAAAGACGACCTTAAATGTCTTTTTTTTACCCACAATTCAAACATATTCAGGTTAGAAAGAGTAAAGAAACTAGAAAATATTCACATTTATGAACTGGAATCACAGGATTTGTACAAACTTTTTCCAAACAAAATGCTCAAAATGGTTAATAAGTTATTTAACCGTTGACAACTAATTGATAAATGGTTGCAGCTCTATTAGTTTGACAGTTTTATTCATTTCCGAACTCTTTCAGCGACCGAGCTTCGGGGCTAAACGACAGCCGACAGCTCTTGTTCTCAGGAGTCGTGAAAGGGCAGCTGGAAAATGTCTTCAGCCAAGAAGTAAACTTTGTGCCAGATATGTCAGAGAGCGTCGATAAACGTTGTCGGTTTTAGTCCGAGGCCACAGTTTAGACGAAGGCAGACGGACGGAGCTGCGAGTGGATGGTTTTACACGTTCGAGCAGAAACACTCTCAGCACCGAATCCACAGATATCGGAGGATTTTCTCAGCGTGGTGCGAGAGCAAAAGTGGCAACCTACCGCATGAAACTGATGGAAAGGGGAAGAAGGAGGGAGTTTTGGGTGCGACATTCCTGCCTGACGTGTCCTCCGGTGGTGGAGCACACAGGTGTTGGGTTCACGGTGCGTTCATGCCCCGCAGCTACTGATCTGACGCACGGTCTGATTTAACGGTTTTCATCCCCGCAGACGAGGCTTTTCTCTCTCTGGAAAACACGTACGTAATGGTGAACAAACCATTCACCTTCTTGTGCAAGTTCCCGAAAGAGCCGAAGTGAAATGAAAGCAGAGGGTCCAGCAGAAGGAGGAAATCGAGGACATTCATTTAAATAACTGGCTGATGAAGCAGCGCAGAAATATTCCACAACCTGACAGACTGTCGGGAGCAGAAGAGAAAAATGCCTTCAAACAAATGTGAATTATTGAGCAAAAAATGTGCCTCCAGATGGTAAAATAAGCCCTGACAGACGTTCCAAGTGAATATAAATGCACTGGAAGGAAAGACAAAGTGTTGAGTAGATTTATGTGTGGATGCTCGTGGAGGTCCAGAGCATCAGCGACCTCCAGCCAAACGCTACCAGATCCACCCTCCAACTTTACATCCGCCTATTAATCACTGACTTCATATTCACATGCTGTTTATTGTCGGCGCTGAGTAATTTACAGCTGGAAGTGATCTTTCTAACAGTGAATCCATGATTTGGGAAAAGTAGAGAGAAGCAGCTTCTGAGTTCTTGGCGGCAGGATTTTAGAAGCTGTAGTGTGATCGCTAATTAAGTTAATAATTAGGCTAATAAGCTGAAAAATTAATTAAGCTAATTTGTTTCTGTGCAGAATTGGTCTTAAATATACACTTGATAAAACTGATAGAATAATTCATCAATTTGTTTTCGACTGTTTAATTGGTGACTGACTATTTTCATCATTAAATAATCATTTAAGTCATAATTTTGTCCAAATTCTGTCACTGCAGCTTTGTAAATATGAATATTTTCTGGTTTCTTTCCTCCTCTATGACAGCAAGTTAGATATATCTTTGGGTTGTGGACAAAACAAGGCCATGTGGGACGCCATTATTGGCTTTAGGAAACACTATGTTGGCATTTTTCACCATTTTCTGCCATTTTTAGACCAAACAACTCATTGATTAATTACGAAAATGTAAGCGAAAATGATAATATTTGTTAGTTGTGGTTCCATACATGAGTTTGGGGTAAAAAAACTGGCTGAAGATGTCTTTACCAACCAGTGAGCTGGATAGTTGGTGCATGATTAAAACGTACGATAAGGAGACAGAATAAGAACATTGTGTTCGAACATAACCCTGCTGCTCGGTCATAGTAAACGGTGTGTTTTGTCTCATGTCAGTGCCAACACTGGAGAACAACGGTGGCTCTGCAGACTCTCACTGCTTACATTTTAATTAGTTACCGTACTTTTCTTCTGTCTGTAAACGCTGCCTGCAGTTCGAAAAGTTCTGAATGTTTTGTCACGTGACTGTTGGTCTCAGCCGAGTCACTGATGGCTTCAAGACTAAGAAACTCAGAACTTTTAGTTTTTTACAGAATCTGATTCGTGCACACAGTTTACTTTGGGCGTTTCTTGAAAATAAAACATGTAGAATAAACTAATTTTGATATGATTAGAAGCTTAGATGTGATTAATATTCCAGACAAAGCCAGAATGGCACTTAAGGTTTATTTTGAGGTTCTTCTAATGTTCTGCACTTTGATGAGCATCTGTTGACATGGGTTTAGTTGCAGAGCCAAACGAACACATTTTGGTTTTAACCCTAAATAAAAAGGAGAGCCTGATGTCTTGGAGGAAGTGATTTGTTGGATTTGCAGCAAAAACATGACTTTAATGGCACCAATACCACTCATGTAAAACCGATATAGGTGTACAATGAATAGAAAAAGATCATTAAATTGGAAGTCGCAAATAATTTTGGGGCTTAAATTAGATTTTTAAAGAAGAATAGAATAAAATGACTTTGATAAAATTGTATGATTTAAGCTTAGATTTAGTTCAACTAAAAGTCACATGATCAGTTCAAGGACTTTTGGAAAAACTGAAAATCCAACGATTTTTCCTGCGTTCGTGGCTTTCAGCTCTCGTAAATGGTGTCATTTTTGCGATTTTTCAAAAAAAAATTGAACAATATGGGGTTCAGAGGATTAAAGCTTTTATCGGCTAACACGGATGATTGTGTCAGTATCATATAAAAAAAGGTTGTCTTCTTCCTCTCGTAGTTTAATTGTAGCAACTGGACTTGCTTGAGTTTCACCTCTCATGAAGACGTTTCACCTCTAATCCAAGAGGCTTCATCAGGTCTGACTGACTAGTTGGGCGATCCAGATACTTCTATCCTTAAGGAGCCATTAACACCTGAGTTTTGGTTTTAATTGGGGATTTGTTGCTCCTCCCCGTCGTGGGAAGATTAACAAACGTTTACAAGGAGGAGGAGCATCAAACCACCAACTGAAACCGAAACTCAGGTGTTAGTGGCTCCTTAAGGATATAAGTATGTGGAACTCCCAACTAGTCAGTCAGAACTGATGAAGCCTCTTGGATTAGAGGTGAAACGTCTTCAAGGAACTCAAGCGAGTCCAGTTGTTACGATTAAACTACAAGAAAAACCATGACCTGGACGACTGAGAATATTCAGACACGTCATCTTTTTCCAGTCTTTCTCTTTTTACTCTCACTTTATAAGAACAGTGAGCATTCCTTGTCCCAGCTCTGTCAAAATCTACCTTAAACGACAGCTTTAAGTGGAACCATCTGTTTACAAAGTGTAATATCGGCGGTTCAGACGGGGAGCAGCAGCTCTGTTGGGGTCAGGCTGTCGCGTCACGTAAAGACGCCGTTTGATCGCACATTATGAGCCGCGGCGCTGCGATAAGATCTGCTGGTTTTGTGCGTCTCCGGGGCTCCTCTCTGCTCGGCTGTACATGCATACACGAGATATGAAATGGAAGGTTTTGTCTGACAAAATGGAGCAGACTTGAATCTAAACACCCTCTTGTTTCCCCTCCTCAGTACATCTTGTCCGGGTCGGACGACTTCAATCTCTACATGTGGAAAATCCCGAAGGATCCAGAAGCAGGTGAGTTATTAAATCTGTCTGCGCCGGCTGCTTATTTATCAGAGCGCCGTTATTATTTTACATTTCCATCAAGACAAAAGCAGCAGAAGGATTTAATCATCCGGATCCCAGTGTGAGATCGTCTTCTGCCGAGTCAGCACAAAAGTGGAGGGAGGGGGGGAGAAAAAAAAGTGCTTTGTTTTTCTTTGTGTGTGTCTGTGTGTGAATTTGGTTTGTTGAAATCTTTTCATCGGCGAGCTTGTAAACAGACATACCACGGCTTTAAAGGGAGCCTGTTCTGTAGGACAGAGGTTTGGTGAGCGTTCATTCTGCAAGGTTAAAGATTTCAGTGGCGTCGACTAAACAAAGCGGGTTTTAAGTCGCTGTAACTTTCAGCCACAGAAAACAGGCTGCAGACTGCGGTTTGCCCTCAGTTCATTTGGTCATAATAGACTTTCCAGTCATGAGCAGCTACAGCATCTCCCGTATCGATGTCTGTTTCTTCATGTAGTCTAACATGTTATCGAACTGCACCAACGTTTAGCTTCAGCTTGAGAGTCCCCACCTGCCCGAACAGACGAACAATCCAGAGAAAAGTATATTCTTGCTGCGAGCATGCCTCAGATGTAATTACTCCTCGAGGAAAATCCCCCAAAAATGCAACAATGTGGTATTTGTAGCTCTTATGGCACCACCTGACACATTTATGGATTTCATTTTCCCCCGAGTTACTCACACTGAAAATATGTGCACAGGGCCTATTTGGTGTCAGACTAAAGGCCCATTATGAGGGTCACGACGGCGGTATTTCACAGCCTGCGTCTTCTGTGTCCACAGTCGGGCTGAACGACTGTTTGTTTTAAAGAGTCCTTGTTGTTGTCGCGACTCTGAGCTGACGTTTACATACCGTTCCTTTTAAGGAGGCCCCGGTCGGGTGGTGAACGGGGCGTTCATGGTCCTGAAGGGTCACCGATCCATCGTGAACCAGGTCCGCTTCAACCCTCACACCTACATGATCTGCTCCTCCGGCGTCGAGAAAGTCATCAAGGTCAGTAAAGCAATGGCACTGCTGTTGGTTTAAGGTGGGTCGGTCTGTTGTTTGAGATGCAGCTGAGGCCTGAACAGAGGGAAATCTTTACTGCAGCATCGGGATCATGGAGGGCTCAGTTATACTCAGTGTGTGGGTTACAATCCCCATCAGACCTGGACAGAGAGCTGGTATCCCCACTGACCATTTTCTGATTTCAGTGAAAATAAATCAGGGATTTTTTTGTTTGCATGTACAGTAAATGTGGAGAAAGAACAGCTGTCTCCAAAAGATGTAGATTCCAGACAACCTTCTCAATTACCGTTTTACTGAAATGTATCACAAATACATTTCTCCTCAGTGTATGTCTGCCATCTACATGGCTGCTTCCTGCTGGTTTGTTTTAGCCGACCAATAATGTATTATACGATATGACACTCGTAACTACATGGACAAAAAATAAACTTTTTTTTTAGTTTTTACAGTATTTTTTTGAACATTTTACTTGTATTTTACAGATTTTCCTGTTTACTTAAAGATAATAACTAGTAAAATGACCAAAAAAAAGTGTTTATTTACATGTTAACCGTGAAAAACAAAGAGGAAAAAAAGCTAAAACTCTAAATATTGTCAACATTTTTTTTAAAAATCCAAAAAGAAAAAAAATCAGTATTTTCACAAATGGTAATTTGCTCTCTTACAACCTTCAACCTTATCCCCGCTATTATCTTTGAGGTCAGTTTGACCCGATTCAATGTTTAACATCTGGAAAAAAAAAAAATTTAAAAAGTGATTGACATTTTTTCAGTTTCATTTAAAGGGCTATTTACACATAAACTTGGGTAACAATTTTAACTATGATAATTTTCTGGAGGTTTAAATTTCTGGTTTCAAAATGAACCCAAGGATAACAGACGTCAGCAAATTTGAAGATAAGAGGAGGGTTAAAATAACACTATATTCTATTTCACTGTATTTAAATCGGGAAAAAATAATCACAATTTTATGTATGTTTGCAGATATTTGAAAGAAAAACTGTGTATGTTAAGGACTGAGAAATGGTTATATGTTGTTAATCTGTTATTTCTCAAGTTCTAAAAACTGTAGTTCCTCAAATGGCCACTAGAGGCTGCTCCAAAGCAAATAAATCCCCTCAGACCCGCATGTCAAAATGCACAACTTCACGGCGGAAATAAACATGTTTACCGCCTGGTACATAAAACGATTTTGGTTTCAATAGGTCATTTTTCCATTTATGAAAATCATACAGGAGGTGAATTTTGACATAACTCACCCGATTCATTTATATTTGAGTTAAAAGTCGTGCCAGCTCCACTTACACGACACCTCTTTATTTATAGTCTGTGGGAAAATGCTTTTCTTTCAAATGTAATTAAAGTGCAGTTCACTTTTAAGAGAACATGACTTTTGGGAGACAGAGCTGTCAATAATACCCCTCGGCTGTTTCTCTGTTAATCTGGAATGAAATAATGTCAAAGAAATGCCTTTAATGTTTATTCATCTTACCTGAGAAGTGTTTTTGTTTGTTTTACTGCTCCCTGGCCTCTTGTCATTTTGCAGCAGTGGCTCCAGGGCAAAGTAAATTGACTGTCTCTAATGTAGTTCAGACAAAGTGTTCTGTAAGTTAGCTGTCCAACATCTGCGTCCTCGCTTGTTCAGACAGTGGACGTGCCCTTAAGTGAGACATTGATCTCCGATGACACCGCTGAGTTACTGACTGAGCTCCGGCTTCCCTCTCTGCAGCGGGGAATGAAAAAAGATGGATTTCCCCCCGTTACCGACTGTCGTCTGAAACAGATGACGATGAATAGTGTTCAAAAACTGGGTCGCGGAAGACGGGACGGGTTCACAGATTGTATTTCTGAAACCAGAGCCAGACTGTGATATACTGTCAAGCCTTCCTAAGTCCTTTAAGGTAGCTGAAGGCTTTGTAAGCGTTCAAATATATCAAACTTTATTGCTGAAGCCTTCAGTGCAGCTCAGGCTCGATCAGGCTGCAGCATCGGTTATGTTTCGCAGTCGGAATGAGGTCATCGTAGAAACTCCTCAGTAATGTTTCCTCGCTCTGTTTACTTCAACCTGTTGACCTCAGTGGAAGAGTTTGCAGTTAATGATGCACTTGTCACAACACAAAGGTTTTACACTCAGCAGCCGCCGTCTCCTATTATCTTATGAGTAACCGTCGTCCCGGTTCTGACCTCCTGAACAAACCAGGCTGCGTTTGAGGTTTGTTTCATGTCTCACCGAGTTTCAAGTGGATGGTTCTTTTGTGTGTGGTCACAGGCACAGATCGGTTCTCGTTTTATTATCTAATACTCACGTCAGTCTGAGGAGACGGTGTTCTTAATGTATTTGTCATCTGAACCGTAAAGTTGCACAACTTAGCATTTAGCAAACATCTGTCTGCTATGTAAAGATGGTGCTAATAAACACACCGACCTCCTGCTTGGCATTGTAAAAGTGGAAGTCAGTGTCCCAGTGTTCCAAAGAATTTAAAAACTGAGCTTGTTATTGATGATTAATGAAATTAGTCAGTAAATTTGCAATCATATTTCTCTATTATAAAGAACTTTGGGTTGTTATGTATTATTTGAAATGTGCTACACAAACAAGAGTGACTTATCTTGATGCTAATGTTAGCATGTTAGCATCCAGTATTTTTCTCGATGCGTCAACAAACAGACTGTAGGCCTTAAGAAGCCTCAGTAACGACTAAATACCTGAAACAGCATTTTAGAAGTTGGAAAACTTTGCTTTTAAACTTTTAAACTCCGTTATCGTTTTATTATCTAATACTCATGTCAGTCTGAGGAGACGGTGTTCTTAATGTATTTGTCATCTGAACCTTAAAGCTGCACAACTTAGCATTTAGCAAACATCTGTCTGCTATGTAAAGATGGTGCCAATGAACAGACCGACCTCCTGCTTGGCGTTGTAAAAGTGGAAGTCAGTGTCCGAGCGTTCCAAAGAATTTAAAAACTGAGCTTGTTGTTGATGATTAATGAAATTAGTCAGTAAATTTGCCATCATATTTCTCTATTATAAACAACAGTGACTTACTTAATGCTAATGTTAGCATGTTAGCATCCAGTATTTTTCTCGATGTGTCAGCAAACAGACTGTAGGCCTTAAGAAGCCTCAGTAACGACTAAATACCTGAAACAGCATTTTAGAAGCGGGAAAACTTTTAAACTTTTAAACTCAGCTATCATTTTATTTAATACTCATGTCAGTCTGAGGAGATAGTGTTCCTAATATATTCGTCTTCTCAATTTTAAAGCTGCAAAATTTAGCAGCAAACATTTGTCTGCTATGTAAAGATGGTGCTTCTAAACAATATAACACAATCTAAGGCTGTGTCCTAAATCACCCCCTATGCCCTATATAGTGCACCATACAGGGTGTACACCAGCAGTCGGATCAAATATGTGAAGTTTGAGGCAGATTGGAGCATGTACAGGGTAGTTACACAGTACTTCCTCTTCCATGGCGAAGGATCAAACATCAGAGGGCCGCCGCGGCCACGCCCTTTAACCTTTGCAGATGATTTTGATATCATTTTACCTTCAAGGCGTATTCTACATGCTACCCAAATTTCAGCGCTCTGTGACTTACCCCCTAGGAGGAGTTAGCTCAGGTTGGACAAAGGAACAATCCAAAATGGCGGACTTCCTGTTGGGTTTAGGGTATGGCTGTCACTGACTTAGTTGTTCGTCCTGACCTCCTCCATACACCCACCAAATTACGCAGCTCTAGGTCAAATGTGCTTCCGATGGGACTCCGTTGAATTTTTCAAGGGGGCGCTGTGGAGCCATTTTGGCATTGACATGTCCAACTCCCTTAAAATATCAAAATTTTGTGGCAATTTTGCTGAGTTTTTGTGCATGTTTAGGCCCTCAAAATCGCATTTCAAAAGTCGGTAAAAATAATAATAGGGTCCTTGCACTGTTGTGCTCGGACCCTAACAGGTAAGAAGCATGGGAGCAGAAAGATGTGCATGAGGTGTAAGAAAGTGTGTGTGTGTGTGTGTGTGTGTGTGTGTGTGTATGTATTGGTATATGTGTAAGTAAAATTTGATTATCTTTACTTGATCTTGACCTCAAAGATGCACACAATGCACTGACAAACGCCACAGTTCACCGTTGCATTAATCAAATATTGAGTCCATGTACAAAGAAATGATTCCCCTGATGATGAGCGGAGCGGTTCCAGAGAGGTGACAGAGTTTGAGCTTCTTTTCTGTCAGCACAGTAACACGATGCTCCCTGTTTTGTACATTTTACTGCACAGACTGGAAGATGATCCAACTGCAGGTGTTCTGCAGCGACGGGGGGAATCTCTCTCTGCTCCTCACTTTTCCTCTGCCCATTTTTCATTCTGTCATCTGACTTTAAATCTTTATTTTTGTTTATCTCCTCCTCCACTCCCTCTCTGTCCAGGTGTGGAGTCCCTACCAGCAGCCCGACAGTCTGGGTGATCTGGAGGGTCGTGTGGAGGATAAGTCCCGCAGCCTCTACACTCACGAGGAATACATCAGCCTGGTGCTCAACAGCGGCAGCGGTTTGTCCCACGACTACGTCAGCCAGTCCATCCAGGAGGACCCCCGCATGATGGCCTTCTTCGACTCTCTGGTGCGTCGGGAGATCGAGGGCTGGAGCTCGGACTCTGACAGCGACCTGAGCGAGGAGGCCATCATGCAGCTCCACGCTCGCGTCCGTCGCTCCACCCGAGCAACGCCAGTGGCTCCCAGCGCTGCAGCCACTGCAGTCGGCCACCACAGCGACTCTGATAACTCGTCCTCCTCCTCCCTGGCCGGACCCGACGCCTCCGGAGGGGAAGAGCCGGCCGGAGAGGACGGCGAGGAGCGTCCCAGGAGACGCAGCAGACATCAGCGCCATCAGTCTGGCTTCCTCGTGAACGAGGACTCGGACTCTAGTGAATTTTGGCTGGACCCGATGCCCCGACCTCGATCCCCGAGCCCCAGGGACAACTCCACGCTCTCCAGCCCCACCTCCTCTCCCTCGCTTCCGGCCGGAGCCTCAAGCTCCTCCACGTCCACCTCCAGCTCCAGCAGTGACGACGAGGAGCGACGCAGCGCCGTGAGGCGGCGCAACGTCATGAGGCGCCGACGCATGCACGTGGTCTCCAGAGCCGGGGACCGACCCGAGTCCGTTCAGGCTCTGTTCTCGGCCATCGACTCCTGCAGCTACCCCTCGATCTCGATCGATGACCTGTCTTCCTCCTCGTCAGGCGAGGAGCAAAACTCCCTCCAGATCAAGCCTTGTGTCACAGAGGAGGAGAAATGCCTGAGCCCTTCTGACTTTGTGTGTCCGAGCCCAGTAATGTCCCCCGAGAGCCAAGAGAATGAGGACGGGAGCGACAGGACTGAGCTGGAAAGACTTGGAGCTGCGTCTCCTGGGTGTCTGGATGCAGGCAGGACTGGAGGCAGGGCTACTGCAGAGCCGGCTGTAGACAGCTGCGACAGCGGGGAGGCGTGTAGCAGCTCAGCGGCTGCAGACGTGAGCTCCCAGAGCAGGCGTAGCCCCGGAGTGAACGGTCATCACCGGACTGTGGCGGCGTCCGGCGCATACATGAGCGAGAACCCAAACGTGTCCTCAGAGTCAGAGGACGAGACTGGAGTTACCCCTGAAGACAGCAGGCCTCAGAGGGAGAAAGCTGCAGCTCTGAAACGAACTCATGTGGGATCAGACGAGGGCGAGTCGGGCGTCTCACCCTCGGAAAAAAAGCTAAAGACATAATCGCACCTCGTTCTCGCCCCGGAGAGAAACCATTTGTTAACAGACTTCATTTAGGAAGTGGGTTTTCTAAGGGTTTGTACAACTCAGCTTCTTTCTTTTGTCTCGTCGTCATGTGACCATGGACTCACGCTGCTTATGAGCAGGAGACTAAAAAACAAAGTGTGTAAAATTTTCTGTTTGAGAACAAACGAATCGGACAGCGTCATCATTCTTTAGGTCGAACCACAGATGACATTAATAAATATAAAAACATAAGCTAAATTTCGTCGATAACGGTGGTATTGAGTGAGACGCAGTTATTTTCCTGCTGCATCAGCGTTTCTTCCTCCTTCTGCTCCGGTTGTTGCAGAAAAGCTCCACCCAGGATTTGGAGCTCCTCCAACCACAACAACAATAACAAAAAAAAAAAAGGCTTTTAGGTAGGACAAAAGCTCTGCAGCATTTTAATTTCTATGGTTTCACACTGAGCGTAAATCTGATTGGGCTTATTGTCATTTTTAAGTGATTCTCAGCTGAGGCTGCTTCAGGGTGCCTGAAGAACTGACTGCCGCCACAGACATCCTGAGGAGCGCCATTTGTATAAGCTGTGGATTGAAATTATGCTTTCTGTGTCGACTGTTTTTTTTGTTTTTTTTGTTTTTTTTGGTCTCATTATCCAGCCCCTGGGTATCATTACAAACCGGCTCGCTTTTGTTTTCTTGCAATTAAAGAATAATTTGTTCTCCAGTGACAAAGCTGCAGCGTCTTCCTGAAGCTCACGGCGCGGACTGACGGCTGAAGTGTTTAACTGACACACGTCCGTCTGAGGGGAGGAAAAAAAAAACGAGTCATTTTCTTGTAGATTTGGGTGCTCCGCTACCATCTGCTGACAGGGTTGCCACGGCAACGCAGTCTCAACTCTCTCTTGTGAAAGAAATGTGAAGCCTGTTCAGCTGGCTGTGACCCTGAGCAACCAGTGTCAGCCGGAGAGGAATATTTTACCAAAGAGCTGCGCTTGCTTTCATTAACAGATAATAACTTCAATCAGTTATTAGCAGCCTGGCAAACCTCAAACAGCCATAGATTTCAGATATTACCGTGTCATTACAAATAATTAACATCTATCTCTGACAAAATGACATTAGATGAGGATAATTGCTGCAAGGAAATATTATGAGAACAAGTCCTGGGCCTCTCTGGTCTATGATGTAGCTGTTCTGGACCTTTTTAATCATATTACGTGACGTTTTTGCTCAGTATTCAGGAAAGGATAAATAATTCTACATAAATATAAACTTTCTGCACCCTTTAGGGACCTCTTGTCAGTGTTGGATTAAAAGCTAAGATTCAGATTAGAAACTGTAAGATTCTCTGACTACTGCAAGATCATGTGATGTGATGAGTACTACAGAATACCTGCTACATGGATTTGCTTGTACTTAATATTACAAATGTGGAGTTTTTGCTTGTAAAGAAGTATTTTTGTTTTCAGGTAGTTTTAGGCAGTATAAAAGATAAAAACTGGTCACAGTCAGAAGGTGATGCCAGGCGACAAAATACGTTTTTAATCCTTTTATTCAAGTAAAATGTGGATTTTAAAAGCTGAACATTATGTCTCTGAATTGCAAGTTTTGCCTGATTGACACAATAACATTTTTTTACAATAATGGAAAACGGAAAAACCAGCAGCAGGCGCTCACATTGGATGGCCGGAGCGATGGCGTCACTGCTGTGTAGAAAGCAAGAAAACGAGAGAAGGTGGAAGTAAATTAAATCGTTGAAGTTAATGTGGGAACCTTTTTTGTATGTCCAGCAGTTGCAGAACAACATGATCTGGAGTCGTGTTTCTGGCCACCCAGTGCACGTATCTGCAATGTTTGCTGTGTTTTTGCTCTGTTTTTGGTCTCCACCCACTACCAAAGGTAATATCTGGTTCTTCAGCTGCTAAATGCTGCACTGTGTTCGGAAGGAAACTGACTGGCTGTTGTTTGGCGCTGAGCAGAAAGTCTCAGGTGATTTTTTTAAAGAGCTTTTTGATGTTTCAGAGCCATTTTGTTTTTTGGTGCGCAATCCTTCTGCTTATTTCCTTCAGTTTTGATGCAAACCTTCATGAGGACTCAACAATTAAAAGAATTAGAGATCACTAAAAATTTTCAAAACACATTTCTGGCCAGGGCACAATTTTACACCAATTTCCAAAAGATGATTGATGAAGTGATGACATTTTATGTTTAAAAGGCTTTGGTGCTCTACAAAGCACTTTCCTGGTTATTAATCAAGACCACGACTCAGGAATAAAGACGTAAGCTGCCAATTGACTGGCTGAGGCGGAGCTGTAATTATAGCTTTTGCCCAGAAATAAAATGACCACAGAATACTCAACGTTCACTGTGGCCTGATATTTGATTTTTGGATTTGATCACTTTAAATATCACAATTTTGAAAGAAAAAAAAGTCAAAATGAAGTGTTTGCAAAAAAAAGAAAAGAGTCAGGATCCTGACTCGTCATGAGGCGAGCAAACCACAGACGTCTGAGTATTTTCAGCAGAAAATCACACAAACTCCTCTCGGTTTTCCCGACAGACTAATGACTGTCCACGGAGTGCATGATGTCATTACTTTCTGAGGAATCTGGCATCGTGTCTCCGCTTGAACGGCGGCGAAGCAGACGATCCGGGGGGCAAACCAAGATTACAAAGCCCAACACACGGCCTCCTGAAGCCGGCTGCGAGGTGGTAATCTGAGGGCAGGCAGACACGTAGTCGAGGGTTATCGACTTGTTTGTACGGCTCCCTTGTCAAAATAATTTCCTCCACTTCTTAGAGCGTCTGTGTGGCCGTGACTTATCTGCAGGAAGTAGACACCCTTCATTTAACCCCATGCTTCCCCTGGGACAAGTATTCAAATGCGGATATTGTATGCTGGGAGTTGTTTACATTCTGACGGGAGCGTGCCTGCTGAGCTGCATATGGCTTAATGATTAATTACAGGCCAAGCGCAGAGTCTTTTCCAGCTAACTGTGCGGTTTTACAGCATCAATCAGAAGTACACAGAGAGTTAAAGGTAGTGAAAGAATGAAGTCATGTTCTGCACAAAGGACTCAAGTGTCCTTGGCTGGTCACATTAGAAGAGAATGGCACTTGTTGGAGAACTTTTTATCTGTATTTATTCAGGCAAGGTTAGCTGGCTGAGTGTGCTCGCCTTCCCTCCCTCGTAGGTCACATTCGCTACTGGGAGGAGGCCAGTACAACCACAGTCCTTTGAGGACTTCCACTGGAGCAGGCATGGGTTTAATCAGATGTACTATATTGGTCTGGGAGGGGACGCTGGAACCTTTTCAGTTTCTTAAAGGCCCCGAAAACCTGTTTTCTCTGATTGCAGAGCAGTGATTCTGCATGAACACACTATTTTCCAACAAAAAATCTGCTGAAAAAATTCAAGTTTTTTGTAATATAATTGCTTTTCTGACTGGTTTGTAGTGGGACGGGTCGGTTTTTCCACTGCACCAATCAGGATTCAGCTATATTTTAATTGAAATGCGATTGCAGGTGTTGGGTTTGTTTGCTTCTGTTGCTGAACCAAATCGGATCAAACCACATCCACACAGTTATGATGAACATTTTAAGTCCTTTTTTTATTTTTATAAAACCCCTAAAAACTTATCGTTATGTACCAAATTTACATATTTATATATTTGACTGTTTATTTCCAACTTGGAAATTCCAACTTCCCAGCTCAAATGGAGTGCACCAGGTATGCTATGCTAACGGTGGCTAATGTAGCTCATCTGTAGCAAGAAAAAGGTTTACACAGCTGTTTTTTAAATTTACATATTTTAATTTCCAAGACCTGTAAACAGACAAGGACTTGTTAAATTGATAGAGTCCAGCTTTAGAGTGTAACGCCACCCAAAGATGTGTTTTAGCAAACTCTCTTTATTGGCACTTCTTGCTGCTTGTACTTGGCGGCCATCTTGAAAGTGGATGTTTTAAGCTAACAAGACCAAGCTGGGCACTCATTTAAATAACAAGTAGGGTAACAAAAAAAAAAAATTAAATGTGAGTACTGTAATTATATTGCTGTTACTAGTCCTGGTATCACTACTACATTTGGGAGTCTAATTGCTTTCCCGGACTTTGATCGAGACGAAATCATTCAGTGGACAGACGTGTTAGCTTGTAGCAAAAGAGGATAAAAGTGTGTTCAGGTAACTTTATATTTCTTCATTTTAACCGTGTTCTTACATGTTTTTCTAATTCAGAAATGCTCTGGGTTTTGTTCAGAGTCTGAACTTTTGTCGCTTTGTTGTGAGTTGGAACTTTTATGTGTCGCATCCAGTCAAAATCATTATAAGCAAGACTGACCGCTTGGCAGCCATCTTGGTAGCTACGCCAGGCGGTTAATTTGGGCTAATGGGACGAGGCTTGTATCTAAATGAATGGGGAGAGAGCCATAATTGAAATTTCAGTGGTCACTGGGACATAAAAGCTGAAGTGAAATCTGAAAAAAAAAAAGTTAAAAAAGCAACTTAAAAAGCTTAAGTGACTTTTACGACACTTAAAAACGGTTAAAAGGGTTTTTAGAGGGAAGAGTGGAATGTGTCATATCATCAACTTTGGCATTAATATATTCTACCATAGATTTATTTTTTCTGACACTTTACAAGATGCAGGTATTGCTTTTCATTCTCTTTTAAAAATATATAATTTACTCTTTGTTAGCAATTTTAAGACCAACACACAGGAAGTGATCCTTTACAATATCTTCATCAAAATCAAGATCAGACCTAAGAGGAGTTACATAGTCGACCCATTTTTCCTGATAGGAAGCAAACTGTTGCAGTTTATGAGTGACGTTTTATAAATGTCCATTGAAATGTCTGTCCACTCTTTTGTCTTTAGGTAGACAACCTTAAAATAGTGTCTCTACCACAGATTTCTATTCAGACATCTTTAATATGTGGATCTGTCCCTCATAACGTCTCTGGTTTTAGTCAGTGTTGCTTCTATTGTGTGATGTAAAATGATCTATGTTCACAAATTTACGCTAAAAGCCTGTTTTCAAACTCAGCTGCTGAATTTAAAAGGTATCTCCGGTTTATTTCGACCTTTTTCTTTAACAGTCTCTAACTTGGGCCAGCTCTCAGCCTCCATTAATCACCCTAAATGTTTGTTTTTGGGTCTGACTGAATGGAAACACAGACATCAGCTGCCATGTTGATATCTGCATCAGTGCAGGAACACTTGACCTGATCGTGCTTCACATTTGTCCGTTCACACCGGTTTGTTTGTGCGTCTGAGGCAGTGGATAGTTTTCCGTTTGTGTTGGAGACAGATACGGATCTGAAACCACTCGTCTCTGATTCCAGACGAGGTGAGCTCCCACCCGCCGCTGAGTTAAACTCTGCTCCGTTCCTTTATCCCGTTCTTACATTATGTCCCTTTTGATCCCAGATGGTGTTTTGGCTCAGGATGTTTGACCATAAACCCAAACACATGTACAACTCAATGGGATTATGGCGGCGGTGCTGCAGTCTCCCATACATGGCTCAGCTTTAACAGCAAGGACAGCTATTTAAGAATTCCCCTCCCGACATGACTGGAATACCTTGGGATGCTGCCAGAGCGCAGACGGAGCCAAAAGCACCGTCTCTTCACATGACCCTCAGAAAGCTTCTCTGCACCGCCGACTCCTCACGAGATATTCTGGGATTCTGCTGAATAGTATTGTGTTGACGTCAAGTAGCTGCGC